GAAGAAGGGGAGGAGGAGGAGGAGGAGGAGGAGGAGGAGGAGGAGGAGGAGGAGATGCAGAATGGCATGGAATCTTAATTTTGTGTTTTTATTATTTGTGGGTTTACTAGCCATCTAGGTTGTTTTAAATAATGTAAGTGATCATATACATTTCTCAAATAAATAAAATCAGTGGCACAATCTTCACACTTCTCTAGTAAAACAATAAACAGTGATGCTTTACCAACATAGTAGCCTGGCATAAAAGTACAGTATACAGAATCCTACTTTCCAAAAGAAACAGACATTGTCCTCTGTAAAAGGCTACCCTAAGGCACTATTAGCTGTTTCAGAGGTATCCAAGACAGGCATCCAGTTACTATAATTGCTAGCAGGCACAGAAGGCAAAACCATGAAGTATATGGAAATTATTTCCATCTGCAGGCTAGAACCAGTATGATCTTCTCTTCCAAGGAAAATAAAAACATCAACCAACATTACATTTGGATAAAGGAAATCTAAAGAGCCAGTCTTTGAGCCTCAGAATGGAATAAATTATCTTCTACAGCAAAATGGCTACACAAGGACTTGTCCTTTGCACTGGGAATGAACTAGGGAAGAAAGAAGGATGAAGCAAACTGATAGCATAAAACAATGAAGAACATTGTTCTTCTAATAAGAGTAGAGTGCATTCCTCTGAACTCAGAAGTGATTACCCATAATGTGCCTAATTTCATAGTTGCAACTCACCTGGTAGAAGGAGTGAAAGTTTCTTTCTCCTAGCTGCTGTACAATTACCCGGGACTAGAAGAACAAGAACAACAAATAATACCTAATTTATTTTTTAACCTGTACTATCCTAAGCAAACAGTTTACATTAAGTTAAATATTGAAAACAGGTTGTTTTTAAACCTAATCTTGCCCTATTTAAATAAATTATTGGGAGGCAGAAGGGGGATGGGAACTAGTTACACAATTTGTGTTATTGCAATGTAACAAAATATGAATGTTGTTGTTATTGTTATATTTATTTATCTGTTGAAGTGCTATGGCTATTAGCCATCCAGAATCATGTGAGAGATGGGAAGCCATATAAGTCCTTTACATAAATTAAACAAATAATGAGGGTCTTTCAGTTCAATAGTGACATAGCAGCCATTTGCAATGAACCAATTTCAGTGGAAGTCTGGAAGTCTTATCCCTCCAAAGGGCAACTAGCCTATGGAAGGCCTTATGAGGCTGCTGCCATAATCCAGAGGGACAGACACTTTATTCAGTATGACCGAGGGGTAGAATATCTTCTGGGATCAATCAGATCAATAAGTAATAGCAGGACTTCAATAATGCTACTGGTTAAGGTTTCATTAATCTTAATCTGTTAAGTGAAACATTTGGTTGTAAATATGAGCCCATTCAACCGATAGAGATTTATTGCAGGAAAATGTAAAAAAAATAAATAACAAAATGCAAGTCAAGTGTCAAATACTGGAGATGTGGTCACATAAGTGGGGAGGGGGGGTTATGATGCAATTGTAATTTCAAGGAGGGGTTGTAAGTTGCATGGTTCAAATTTGGGAGGTGAGGGGAATACTGTAAAGTAACTTCTAAATCATCAAAGCTTTAGTGCCTATTCCAAGATTATCATTCTGACAGAGTAGCAAAGCAGAGTGAGGGGAGGGGGAAAGGGGAGATAAACATACAGTATATGTTCTGTATAAATGTTTAAGAAAAACAAATGATGTTGCTTTAAAAAAATAATTCTGCATATAGTCACAAAACTGAAAGCTAGACAGCTCTTAAAAACTGCCCTATCATCTCTTCCATTTTTAAATGAGGTTTCCATCAGGCCACAAAACATGTAATAGTAAATTTCCTTACAACCACATGATCATCTATTTAAAACTATGGTCTCTGTTACAAATATATTTACTGAAAGTTTTGCAAGTTAAAGCCAACTTTCTCATATACTTAACATTATCCCAAGAATTCACTTCAGTTTTCTGTTATGAATCCAGATGCTTATAATATAGTAAATTTTACTAATTTCTGAAAGATATCTGTGGAGGAGCATGAAAACCCTAGTTACCTTTTCCAGCAAGTAATTATTGATATGTCCACCTATGGGGTCTCCTTTGAAATCAAAATTGATATCCATATATTTTCCAAAGCGGCTGGAGTTGTCATTACGGTTAGTTTTCGCATTGCCAAAAGCTTCCAGAACACAGTTGGATTTCAGCAGCATGTTCTTCACCCTTTAAAGAACACACATGCCCAAAAACTAATAGTAAAGGAACCTATGTCAGACATAATGCTTTTTATAGGTAAGAAACCTAATGGCCATGTTTGTTCTACTATAGCAAGGGTCTTCAAACTTGGCAAGTTTAAGACTTGTGGACTTCAACTCCCAGAATTTCTGGGCTAACATGACTGGAGGAGGAATTCTGGGAGTTGAAGTCCACAAGTCTTAAGGCTGTAAAGTTTGAAGACCATTGTACTATAGGCTAAAGGGGGCCGTCTTTCAAAATGTGGTCAGCAGAAAGCCATCCCAAGCAAAATAATAGATCCTTAATTCTCAATTTACATCTATAGCAAGCTTCATTCTATGTTTAGGAAAGCAGAAATACAGTGGTCAAGTCACTCCCATCATTGTAGGTATTAAAAACTCCTTCTCTCTGTGTGAAGCCAACTATAAATTCCAAATTATGTTCAAGGCCTTAGAGGTTTCAGAGAATAGATTATCCTGTCAAAATATATAGATTATATTGTTGAGATTAGGGTCCTAACTAACAGCAGAAACAGCAAGAAGAAAGTGAAAGCAGTTGTATCCAGATGGCCTGAAATTAAATCTACTTTAAACCTTTAAATTAAAATTTTCAGAAAATAATAAGCCAGACAAGGGGAATTACTTTTTGGGATGTTGGCATTGTCTTAGTCACCTCTTATACAACAGAAAGTTGCTGTTAAAGGGTTTAGGCCACTATTCGATGTTAGAGACCCATAATGTACCTTGAACATTTGATACAATCTATTCTGTGTTCTTCTTCTTTTTGTCTTTTTTTTTTTTTTACCAGAGCTCTTGAGAAACTAAAAGTTTGCATCCTATTGTGGCACCTTCAATTGTACTTTTTTCCTAAGGAGCAATTATATTTTGCGTTCAATTTATTCAGGCATTTTTTCCTCCAAAGCAAATGCCTTACCTTTCAACTTCGGCTCTCTGACTCTGATTGGTAATGGCAGCTATGTACTGCATAATGTATTTACTGGCTTCTGTTTTACCTGCTCCGCTTTCCCCTGAGGACACAAATGAAGGACAGGAATCAAAACACAATGTCATCTAATTCGCTAGCTAAAGAGAACAAGCGTGCTTTGAGCTTCTTGAACTTCTTTATCACTCAAGAAATTAATATTAAGCTCTATGTCTTCATGCTCAATTTCTAGTTCAAGAGAAAAACTAGGCAAAACTTTGAACTCTTTATAAAAGTTGGCCAAAAAAGTAGATAGTATTGGACAAAGAAGTGCTCGATTTTTAAAATAAATAAAGTAGAACAGGATAGCATCTGGCAAATATTTTACAGGTCATATTTACAAAAACCAACAAATCATATTTGATATATAATATTTCTCAGTGTCTAGAGGTTGTAAGCCTCTGGATGGGGAAGAACAGATCTCAGCTTAACCTTGGTAAGCTGAATGGCTGTAGATTTTAGGGTTGACTGGATCTAAGGTTTTTCCATCTTTGGATCCAAATGGATCCAACATGCAATTTGGGATCCTCCTGGGCTCACAACTTCTTCTTGAAGAGCAGGTGGCAGCTATAATGAAGAAGGCTTCTCCACAACTTTGTTTTTTGATCTCAGTTGCACCCCTTCCTGGATCAAGAGACACTATTCAACGCACAGGCCTTAGTCACCTCTCAAGTGTATTTAGTGCAATACAATTATATGGAGTGGCTGTTAAGGAACATCTGGAAGCAGCAGCTGATCCAGAATTTGGAAACACTGGAAGTTCTGGGTACACTTCAATACTGTACATCCATGTTACATTTCTGCTAAGGGAGCTGTACTGACTCCCAGTGTGTTTCCAGGTAGAATTCAAGGTACTAGTTATTACACCCTTAAAGCCTTCCATATCACAGGTCTGCATTTTTTGTGGGATCATTTATCACTGGTTGTTTTTATTCACCCCACAAGGTCTGACAGGAGGGCCATGCTCCATTCTTCAATTAAAGAATGTCATCTTACGGGACCTTGAAAACCTGTTTGTTTGTTTGTTTGTTTTGCTGCAGTAGCTGTCTCTTGGAACACCATCCTCCTCAAGATCAGATTGGCCTTACCTCTGCTGGCCTTCCATTAAGCACTTGATGTGCTCCAGGAAAAAGGAGGTAGGTAAGTCCCACTTTTTGTATTGTCTTATTGAGCTCATCTTCTGTGACCACCCTTGTCTTTTTATTTCAGTAATAAATATTTATTGTTTTAATGTGTTGTTAGCTGCCCAGGATTACATCTACTAGATGGGCATCCATTAACATGAATGAATGGATGGATGAATGAATGAATGAATGAATGAATGAATGAATACCAATCACTCTCTCACTCAATCATAGAACTTATTCAATTATAGCCAGGCTGGACTCACATTTTACACAAAATCACCACATAGACAGTTTGTAATATAATACAATATAAGAACCTAGCTTTAATCTTCCAGCTTTGTTTAAAACATCACCATGACGGGAGGTAGCAGGTACCTCTGACCCACCTGATATTACAATGCATGTGTCCTTTGATCGCCTCTTCATGGCTTTATATGCTGCATCTGCGATGGCAAAGAGATGAGGTGGCCTCTCATACAACTCACGCCCTTTATACTGCTCAACTGTATCACGGCCATAGATATTCAAATTCTTGTAAGGATTTACAGAAACAACTACTTCCCCAATAAATGTGTAGATCCGTCCTTTTTCAAACCTAAATGGTGCAAGACAAAGGTGACAGAAAAATTTAAAATGGTTAAAAAGCAGACAACTAATATCATATAACTAACATGAGCTTCGTACTTTAATGAGAAGCTCATTTCATCATATTTTTTCCTCATGATCAAAGAATTTACTGACTGTAAGTAAGCAGTAGTTGAAGAATTACATCAGTAATTTTTTATGTTAAGTTCAGGCAGAATTATGTACATTGTGTATGCCTTTTAAGTTATTTATGTAGAAGCAGGATTAGGCATCTAAAAATTCAGGCTATTCATGAACGTGTGCACAGATACATCCTTAAAGTTGCATCTCTATTAATAGTAATGCTTAAATATATAATGCATCACAATTCAAACTCTAAAAATCTCAGAAAAAAACCCAAGATTTTGATATTTAACATTACAAAATGCCATTATCAAACCTTTAGTTTTCTACTGGGAATTTAGTTTTTCCACCAGTATACTATGAGTCCAAGTCACTACAGAATAGTATTCCAGATTATTTATTTGTATCCAAGCTTTATTGGTTTGACCCAAACATATCCAACAAATCTTACCCCTCCATGACAACAACCCTCTGAGGTGGATTGTGCTGAGAGAGGATGACTAGCAAAAGGCGCCCAAATGGTTTTTATGACTAAGGTGGGACTTGAACTCACGATCTCCCGCTTTCTTGGTTCCTTAACTATTAGACCAAAGTGATTCTTTTTAAATTTGGTTCATGATAAAAAAGAACATATTTTGAGTTAGGAGCAATATTTTCTCCTGTTTTATTTAAAGCAACTTTGTTTTTGCATCACAACAACCTGTTAATGTTTCTTTACCTCTAGACTTCATCAGCCTGTTTCAACTCTATGGGATTTGATGGCTGATGGAAGCTCAGTCCTGTTTGTTCTCAAACATTACACACATTGTTCTTCATCAATCACAAGGCAAGATATGACAAATATTGTTTGGTAGCTCCATTGGACAAAGAAACACAAAACCCAGTACAACCAGTAAAGCCCCAGCTTTCAATCGTTTGTTTAGTGACCATTCAAAGTTACCACAGCACTGAAAAATGGTGACTCATGACTAATTTTTACCATTGCATTATCACAATGGTCAATGATCAAAATTTGGGCACTTGGAAGCTGGCATATCTTTGTGACAGTTCCATTATTCTGGGATCATGTGATCACTATTTGTAAGCTTCCCAGCCACTTCCAACAAAAAAAGTCAATGGAGGAAGCCAGATTCATTTAACGATTGGGTGATTTACTAAACGCCTGTAGTGATTTGCTTAGCAACTGTGACAAAAAGGTCAGAAAATGAGATGCAACTCATTTAACAAGTGTCTTGCTTAGCAATGGAAATTTTAGGCTCAATTGTTATAAGTGGTCTTCTACTTATGACTACAATAAGGACCAGAATTTCTTCTGCTAGGAAAGGTGGTTATTAAGTGAGTCATGCCCGAATTTACCACCTTTTTTGCAACGGTTGTTGGGTGTATTACTGCAATTGTTAACTGAATCACGCAGTTATTAAAGAATTAAACTTCTCCCATTGTCTTTGCTTGTCAGAAGCCAGCTAAGAAGGTCACAAAGGCAGTCATATGACCCCAGGAAGCTGAAACCATCATAAGTTCAGGTAGTTCTCGACTTATGGCCACAATTGAACCCCAAATTTCTGTTGCTAAGTGAGACATTTGTTAAGTGAATTTTGCCCCATTTTATGAGCTTTTTAGCCACAGTGTAGCTGTTAAGTTAGGAACATGGCTGTTGAGTGAATCTGGTTTCCCCATTGACTTTGCTTGCTAGAAATTCACAAAGGAGGATTCCCATGAGCCAGAGACACTGCAACTGTCATAAATATGAGTCAGTTGCCAAGCTTCTGAATTCTGATCACATGACGATGGAGCTGCTGCAATGGTCATAAATGTAAAAAGTTGCTTTTTTCATGCCGTTGTAATTTTGAACAGTCACTAAATGAACTGGTATAAATTGAGGACTATTTGTACATGCTGATTGCCAAGCACCTGAATTTTGATTACTTGATTGCGGAGATGCTGCAACGAGCAAGTATGTCACTTTTCCAGGGTCATTGTAACTTTGAATGGCTGCTAAATGAATGGTTCAAATCTCCACTGTATGCAGATATGATTGAAATAGTTACTTACTCACTATTCAGCTCCACAACAGTTATAAACTGATTCAATAATTCCAAAGACGATATACTTATAATATTTATGTAACATCTGGATTGCTTTTTTTAAAAAAAAAAATTTCAACCAGATTTGTTTAAAAATTATTGGATCCTCACAAGAAAGATGGTGATCGTACTTAAATGCATTGTCATTAAATATGGCACTGAAAAAAATGAGTAAAGGGACAGGCAAAAAACAACGAATTCCTGTTTCACCATGGTGAAAAATTTGGTTAATTGGGTATAATTTCTTTTAAATTTGTTCTGGAGATGAATATTAAATCTGGCAGAACAATATCTCAGCTGTGTTTTTGTATGTTGCTAAATTAAATAAAATACTACCAGAATTACAATTTTGTTTAATTTAGCATTAAATTAATGTGTAACCAGAACTTCCAAAATTATTTATCTTTCTTTTTAGGTATATCAGCTATCCACTTCTCCCTTCCTTTCCAATTTTATTTTTTAATTTTCTTCCTTTGTCAAATGCACCTCCTTCTGCTTTAACAGAATGCAAATGATTATCATTTTATCACACGTCCAGTGTTGAAAGCATTTCTGTCAAAAACTTTACCAAAGTCTTACCAAAAGCAATATTTTGCATGCACCCCCAAAAAGTTCTGTATTACGTTTTGCTTTAAAATTGGGAATTCTGCTGAATTTTTCTACCATGGAAGCATACCACTTTTACTGATATACACTTTTACTGAATTTTTAATACATTTTTCAACTCAGTTTTGAGGGCAGTCAGTAGGAAATGCCATTGTGTGCACATTTGGTGTCCCTCCTTTCCTGTACGGGACAAAACAGCAAGGACAGTGAAAGGGCGAATTATTCTTCTATAAAGGAAGCTTGGAAAGGAAACATATTTAATTCAAAGGTTGCCAACAGGCCCAAATTTTACTGGCCCAACTGTTAACTATCCTCCTGGCCTATACCATAGTGTGTGTACACACACACACACACACACACACACACACATTAAATTGTTAAAGTAGTATATTCTATGGTGGCATAGAAATATTGGAGAGAAAAAGAAATATGGTGACAGCACTGATGGGTATGGGAAGGATGATCACAAAAGAAAAAGGATTTTATGGTGGAAATTTTATTTAAAAACCTAGATAATTTCTTCTTTAATTTAAATTAGAATTAAATATTTAAAAGTCATGCAGGGATCTGATTTTTATTTACTTTCAATATTTCCATTCCATGTTACTGATAATGAATGAATGGATGTTTATTGCAAAGTAGCTAGTTACTAGAGTATGCATTTCAATTCACAAGACAAGGCTTTAAAAAAGATACTTTTCAGACACACCGCAATTTTAATTTACTATGGAACAAAAATCTTGGATAGAAAGAAGCAAAAGTCAAGTCATAAACAGGGGAACACATGAATGCTTTTCTATCTACTTGCATCAAAAGACATCCTAAGCCATTCTTCTTCCATATTGTAGAGTGAAAATAAGCTTGGAATGTCTGTTTTATCCATAGATATTAGGAAAGAAGATCAAAGCAAAAGAAAGGCAATGGAGGATAGAATGAATGACTTCCTACAAAACACAATAAATCAACAAAAGCTATTTCCACTGCCATCTCTCTGCCTGAATTTTAACTCACTTTCTCTAAATAGTCACCTCGTATTTATAAAGTTATGTAGACAAAAGGAAAACAAGGCAACAGCCAAACCAAATTTCTGAATTTAGCAAAAGGTACATATGTTTGGTACAAGAAGGCTGAATTACGTATCTAGATATACGTGCTTGGAATTCATTTTACTAATAGATTATACTATTCAGCCAGATAACCTAGGCTGAGGATAAAAGCTTGTAAGGATTCTAAAGTCATTTATTATTACTGAATTGTGCAGTTAAAACTTCATTTTTTCAAAATGATCTTCAACAGAACATCCATGAATGTTGAAAATTCTAATATTATCTCAAATTTGTTTTGAATCTTGGTGTTAAAATTGTATCCATTGATTCTTGTTGAGCCTGTGATGCTATTTGAGGAGATCTGAGGAGAAAATGAGCATCTGGGTTTGTGGCAGGATCTGGTTCCCATGTTGGCATTGTTGTGTGGTTGGTTCTTCTTTCTTTTAAAAATCTGCTTCAGGCTGGGTTGTCTATATTTAAGTATGGGCTTGCTACCCAATCCCTAAAGGGAAAGCTCTCCACCTCATCCCAATTTAAATTCTACTTCATTTTAGCCACTCCATACATTTGCTGAAGTGAGACACAGCTCAAAAAAGCATTTTTCTTTTAATAACATTTGTTAGAAGGATCTGATAGTATTTTTTCTACTGATGTTGGAAACCATACATTAATTTAGCTTTTCTCCTTCAGTTCTTTGTTATCTCAGGAGTGGTGAATTCAAGACTCCAAATCATTTAGATATCTGATGTATTCTAGAAATATTGACATTTTTAAAGCTCTGAATATAATTCATATTTATTGGATATCAGTTAAGAAATATCAGCTATTTCATAAACCCTAATTTGTTATAGGAGTGCATTTAAGTCCTGCAGAAGCAAAACTGATTAATTTAAGAGGTTCCAAATAAAATAGTGAAATTCATTTCTACAAACTGGACCTAAATTTTGTCTTTGACTTGAAATCTATGTATACTTAATGTGAGTGATAGCATTTGAATGTTTCCTGATCTCTAGTTCCTAGATTTTCAGAACGGTGAGCTACACTGGAAACTCAAAGAAAAGGGGAGAAAAATAATTCCCAGAAGAAGGTTGTGGCAAACTATTTCTCCAATATTGCAAGAAATTGACATGGAAGCAGCAATCAAGTGTCAT